CTTTGTCATCCCGTGCTGCCTTTTGAAATCTTCTATTCAGCTCTTTAGTATCTTGAATTCTTCCCTGTGCTTTGGCTTCTTTGCACTCCAGTACAATTTTCAGAGTCTCTTCTGGCATCCATTAAATAGATTAAATAGGTATGACAAAAGGATACAACTCTGGTACATACCTTTCTTTTAAAATATGCAGTGTTCCTTTGTTCTCTTCAGACAACAGCTTCTTGGCCTAGGTACAGGTTTCATATGAACATAATTAAGTGTTCTGAGATTCCCATTCTTCTCCGTTTTAGCCAGAGTCTAGTAACCATCCTCGGGGGGTGGGGTGGGGGAGCATTAAAGATCCAAAACCATGGTATTGAAATTAGCTTTTGTCATTAAATCATATTTATTTTTTTTAAATTAATTTCAATGAACATCTACAGAGATTTTGGATTTCCATTCATTCATTGCTCAACAGAGTTCTTCCTTTAAATGAAATCTTGCCAGTGTATAAAATGTGGGAGAGGCATGGAAGCTGCAGACTTTTGTAATGTGGAAACAATCCCCTGGGTTTTCACAGAGCGCAGTAAGAACCAGTGGCCTGGAATAAGAGTGCTTTTCTGTTAAGGAACTAATTAGATTTGTACTTAAAGAATAATGTATTATGATCCCATAATAAAGAAACAGTTATCCAAAGAAGTCTTAGAAAATAGGTTTCTAATTATCTGCTTTTTGTGTATTCTCATTCTTCTTGCAAGGGAATAATTGTCCTACTTTTTATTGCTAATCCATGCATCTCAGTGAGCTGATGCATTTTCAAAAGGCTAACAATTTTAGCCCTTTGAAAACGTCTTCAGGATCTATTCTTTGGTTTACTTTATCTCATTGATATAGTTCAAGTTGAATAGAAGAAATTTCATTTTTGTTTACTTAAAAGATACTTAGTCAAATTCTCGTTGGAGGAGAATTGCATGTTGCTAATTAAAGCAGTGTCATATGCCCAACTATATGGCAAAGCTCCATCTCTCATACTTTGGGCATGTTGCTCAGAGAGGAAATGTACTTGGAGAGTGACATCACACTTGGACAGGTGAAGAGTCAGCAAAGAGAGGAAGAACCCCCATGAGATGGATTGATACAGTGACCACAGCAATGGACTCAAGTATGTCAGATCATGAGGATGACTCAGGATAGGGCAGGGTCTAGGTCTGCAGTTCATAGGGTCACTATGAGTCATGCACCTAACACAACATTTCCATTATAGAACTGTTGAAGCTCTGATTCTTTGGGTAGTACAAAAAGGATTTTTTTTTAAGTTTGATAGGACTTTGATTTGAAAAATCCTCATGTTTAAATGTATGCAGGTCATTGATTAGAAACCTCTGGGCTCTTAAGGCCACCTGGAGTTCTACTGGAGCTCCTTCTTACCCATCAGGTATTGGTTTTGCATGTTCCTTTAAGGACTTTTCTCAGCCAACTCCTCCATATAGTTGCTAAGGAGAATGGGGTAATTGGGGTAGGTGTGTCAGACAATAAAGTTGGCTCAGGATAGAGCAGGGTTCAGAGCTGTTATACAAAGGGTCTCTGAGTTGCAGTCAACTTGACGGCACATAACAACACAACATACGTATAGCAGCCATTTTGTTTAAGACTTTAGTGGCTTATATTGAACTAACATCTTTAAAACTGTTTCTATTCTTTTTTGGGCAAAGATTCCATGAAAGAATCGTGGTCGAAAAAGGGGAAAAGTGCAGAACACAGTTACAAATTCTCATGCACCCTAGACTTCTTTGGAGCCATGAAGATTGCATGAGCTCTTGATACTATTGCCCCGAGACAGTCTTTAAGCCTTAAGCCAAAATATCCCCTTGTTGTCGCTGTTGTACAACAGCCCTCAACCCTTCTCTATCATGTGCCAGTCTCATTGCTTCTGATACACCAACCCCCAATACCCCAGTCAATGAATCAATCCATCTCATTGAGGGTCTTCCTTTCTTGTGCTGGCCCTCCACCCTCCCAAGCATGATGTCCCTCTCCAAAGACTGGTCTCTCCTTACAACATGTCCAAAGTATGTTAGATGAAGCCTCAGAATCCTTGTCTCCAAGGAGCAGCCTGGTCTCACCCTCTCTAGGACAAACCTGTTTGTTTTTCTAGCTAAGTCTTCTTAAAACCATATAATAGTTTGGCTTAACCAGTAAAATAAATCTGCCTTGAGTATTATATTCTTTAAAGAATTATTTATATGAGATAAAATTGCTAAGGGCAGCTGAAAAGATTAGATAGGAACTTTTGAGAGCAACGAGTTTTTACTAATGAGGTAACAACTCAGGCAATAGGTTTCAGAGTGGTTTTATAACTCAAAGAA